GTGAGTTGGTCATGGTGAATTGGCCAAGGTGAGTTGGCCATGGTGAGTTGGCAAAGGTGAGTTGGCCATGGTGAGTTGGCCAAGGTGAGTTGGGCATGGTGAATTGGCAAAGGTGAGTTGGCCATGGTGAATTGGCCAAAGTGAGTTGGCCATGGTAAATTGGCCATGGTGAATTGGCCAAGGTAAGTTGGCCATGGTGAATTGGCCAAGGTGAGTTGGCCAAGGTGAGTTAGCCAAGGTGAGTTAGCCATCGTGAATTGGCCAAGGTGATTTCACCATGGTGACTTGGCCATGGTGAGTTGGTCATGGTGAATTGGCCAAGGTGAGTTGGCCATGGTGAGTTGGCCAAGGTGAGTTGGCCATGGTGAGTTGGCCAAGGTGAGTTGGCCAAGGTGAATTGGCCATGGTGAGTTAGCCAAGGTGAGTTGGCCATGGTGAGTTGGCCATGGTGAATTGGCCAAGGTGAGTTAGCCATGGTGAGTTGGCCATGGTGAGTTGACCATAGCAAGTTGGCCTCAGCAATTTGGCCATGGTGAGTTGGCCAAGATGAGTTGACATAGACCCCCTGCTGGTTCTCATCCCACCCTTTGCAGAATCCACCCACACCGTCTTCCCTGGATGGTCCTTAAAGTATTGGAGAGCTGCTCTCATGTCTCCCCTTTACCTTCTCTTCCTTAAGTCTTTAAAGGTAGTGCTTGACCTACGACTGGTCTTTTCACAACCATTTGAAATTATGATCGATTTTTTAAAAAAACTTCTTCTGACCCATCTTTAAAGTTATGCTTACTGCATCCCCCACCTGCAGTCATGTGATCACCTGTCAAGGCATTTGACAACCAGTTTGTATTTACAATCATGGATTGCGGCATTCCACAGTCACGTCACTACAATTTCTGACTTTTTTGCGATTGTCCAAAAGAAAACAGCAAAAACAACCATTGGATATGCCATATTTGCTTAATAACATCGTGGTTCACTTAAAAGACCATGGGGACTCACTTCATGGCTCATTTCACACATCTGGCATAGTCTTTTCACATTTCAATACAGGTAGTCCTCGACTTACAACAGTTCATTTAGTCACTGTTCAGAGCAGGCGTGGGTTCTAAAAATTTTTACTACCGGTTCTGTGGGCGTGGCTTCTTTTGTGGGTGTGGCTTGATGGTCATGTGACAATTATTTAGGATTTAGCAGAGGTACTGGTCTACCAGGCTTTTAACTGCTTGCAGAGCTGTACTGATCTACCCATTTATTTTTGCAGGCACTGATCTACTCATGTATTTTTTCAGGCACTGGTCTACTCATGTATTTTTGCAGGCACTGATCTACTCATGTATTTTTGCAGGCACTGATCTACTCATGTATTTTTGCAGGCACTGATCTACTCATGTATCTTTGCAGGTATTTTTGCAGGCATTGATCTACTCATGTATTTTTGCAGGCACTGGTCTACCCATTTATTTTTGCAGGCACCGGTCTACTCATTTGTTTTCTTTTAACACTGCAAGAGTTTAAACAGTTTTTTTCCCTCTAGCCATCAGCTGGGACTCAGGAGGCAGCAATAGATTGGGGGTGGGGCCAAATAAAAGGTAAGAATAATGCAGGGGGGAGGGGGAAGGGGGCAGAACCGGTTCAGTGACATCATATCGTTACCACTACCGGCTCGGCGGAACCAGGCGGAACCCACCACTGGTTCAGAGTTACAACGGCACTGAAAAAAGGGACTTATGACTGTTTTTCACATTGACGACCACGTTTCTTTTTCAGGAGATAGAGGTAGGTTTTTGCAAAAACGTGGTACAGGAAGTCGTCGACTTCACGACCACAACCGACCCCAGAATTTACGTTGGGAAGTGAGAAATCCGTTAAATGGGTTTCATCCCGTTTTATGACTTCCCTTGCCACATTTGTTATGGGAATTACGGCGGTGGTTAAACGAGTCGCACGGTGGTTCAGCCAATCTGGCTTTCCCCACCCCCTCCCCTTGAAGCTTCTGTGCATGCACAGAGCGTTTTTGCAGCATCCCCGTGGCCAAGTGACTTACATTCGGATGCTCGACAACTAGGCTCACATTTATGATGGTTGCAGAGTCCTTGGGTCACATGATCCCCTTTTGCGACCTTCTGACAAGCAAGGACAACAGGGAAGCCAGATTCACTTAACAACTGGGTTATTCGCTTAACAACTGCAGTGATTCACTTAGCAACAGTGGCCAGAAAGGTCGTAAAAATGGGGCAAGACTCAACTGAACAAATGCCTCACTTAAACAGCAGAAATTTTGGCCTCAGTTGTGGTCGTGCAAGTTGTGCAAGGGAGGCGGTGGCTCTGTGGCTAAGACGCTGAGCTTGTCAATCAAAAGGTTCAGCGGTTCGAATCCCTAGCGCCGCGTAACGGGGTGAGCTCCCGTTCCTTGTCCCAGTTTCTGCCAACCTAGCAGTTTGAAAGCACGTGATAAATGCAAGTAGAAAAAATAGGCACCACCTTTGGTGGGAAGGGAACAGCGTTCCGTGCGCCTTTGGCGTTGAGTCATGCCGGCCACATGACCACGGAGACGTCTTCGGACAGCGCTGGCTCTTCGGCTTTGAAACGGAGAGGAGCACCGCCCCCTAGAGTCGGGAACGACTAGCACGTATGTGCGAGGGGAACCTTTACCTTTACTTTTGTGGTCGTAAATCGAGGACTACCTGTACACTCAAAAGGGACCCATTTCATTTCCTTGCAGCCATCCTGAATCCAGTTCCGTCTGTGAAACACAATCGCACACGCGATCTTATTTATTTTTTAACCCAGTGACAACGGCAGAACTAACTGCAAAGCCCAGCTAAACATTTCCGAGAGAGTTGCTGATGTGCTGAAATTAAGCTTTCCAACCAGTGGTCATTTTTTTCTGGAGCTTCTGGCTGCCTTTTCAAATCATCCTTTTCTCTCTTTCTTTTCTTTTTTTGCTGCTGCTGTTGTTGGTGAGTTGTGATTAATTGCGACCCACTTATGAGAAACTGCTGACTACAGTGGCACGACCCAGTCCCACCCCCAAACCCAGATAAAATTCTACCCTAATGGAAATACAGGCGCAATTTTAATCCTGCAACCCACGTATTTATTTAGTCGTGCGTTTAAAATCGCTCACAGAAGCACTGAAATTCCATCTAGTCTTACGAAGCATTTCACCATTCCGGAGAGGAAAAAAAAGCAATATTATTGAGAGAGAGAGAGGCCAAAAATGTATGGATAGAGAAACTGCTAAGCTAAGCTAAGCTCTCGAAGTAAAACGAATCCTTAGAAAACAAGATTCAAAGGCACGTTATGCCTCGTGCAATAAATCCCAGCACCTGTTCCGGTTTCTTAGCGCAGTAAACCTTAAACGGACAAGGTTGACCGCGGGAAACCAACCCGGGGGGGTACCAGAAACCGGGGTGGAGATACCATTAGGAGCCTGATCACGATGGGCTGCTTCTGAGAAGGTTCCAGAAGGTGTCGAGCCAGAGGCCCAGAAAACTATCTGGATCTGGGAGGGGACAGAGCATTTTCTCTCCCCCCCCCCCACCATGGGAGAAACTTAGTTGGGGGGGTTTGCAGAGAGTTTCAGAAGCTTTGCTTGTATTCTAGGCGCTTGTCAGTTCATCCTTCAAAGTCACGCGAAGAGCAGGCCGGGATAAACGCCTTCTCTCTTAAACCCCGTTTTTCAATGCGGTAGGATTGCGCCCCCCCTTCTCCTATCCGTTTCCTCCATGTGCCAGTGAAGTAGGGGAGGGCAGAGGCGAGTTAAGAGAGGGCACGATTGCGGCAACCCCGTGCCTCTTTTGTCAGGAGGCGAATAGTAAGGGATGGGCATGTTGTACAAGATCGGTTGCCGTGGGAAGCTCAGGCGATGCTGCTTGGACGTGAGTCATCATGGCAGTGCGGAAGCTCAGCAAAATCCAAAATGAATATATATATATATATATATATATATATATATATATATATATATATATATATATATATATATATATATATATGGGACCACCAGTTTGCTTAGAGGTGAATAAGGGAAGAGCTTCCCTTCAGACCAACTGCTCTCCCCCTTAATTCCGGGATCACCGGATCGCTGCAGATGGACCCTGGCTAACCCGCCACCGTCCCTGGGCATCTCCAACAGGGCGCACAGCAGCTGTGCCGTCCGCGATGCTTTCCCCCACCTCCTCCGCTTTTTAAAATAGCTATCATGCAGACAAGCTCGACCTAAAGGGAAAATGCCCGAGGAGAGAGCATCCAAACGTTCCCCCTGAGAAAAGCAGAAACGATAGCCATGCCCAAACTTTGTCGGGCATTTTCCTCCTCCGGGAATGAGCAAATGACGGTGTTTTAGGGGAACCTGGCGGCTTCTGTCGTTATTTCAAGAGAAAGCGGCACCCCATAAATCTCCAGGTGTGCGTGTGTGGAGGGGGGAGGGCTGGGGATAGAGTAGACCTCCTGGAGCCCTAGAGAGGAGGCCATCTAGCTTGTGCTGCATAACATTTGCAAGGGAGGGCAAGAGAGAGGCGGACACCCCCCCTTCTCCTCTCCAGGCCTCCTCCCGCCCCTTGGATAAAGATGCTGCAACAGCTAAATCAGGCTTCGCTTTTAAAACACAGCCAGGTTGGCCTTACCTGCGCAACCTCCCTTCCCCACCCCACCCCCACCCCCAGGGATGCAAGAGGCTCTCCTCTTTTCCACCACCCCCTCCCTCCCTCCAGGGAGGGCGGGATCCAGATGGCCAGCCTCTTTCCCAGGGGAGCCGGCTCCGCAGGGACCCCCCTGGGTGGCCCCCCCATCCCGCAGATATTTCCCCCCTTCCCCAAGCCCCCCCCCCCCAATTTCTCCCACCTTTCTTTCCTCCCTCCCTCCGGCTTTTTTCCGCAGGGATGGAGAAGGGGGAAGGAGGAGTGGGCGCATCCTCAGCCCAATGCGCCGTTTGGATCGCTGCGCTTGCGGGGGGCTGGGGGTGGACGGGTGGGTGGGGATCGCGGCGGATGGGTTACCTTCAGTCACATAGTTGTGATCCCGAAGAAAGCTCTGGTTGATGTTCGGGGGGGGCTCCGTCTCCTCGCCCATTGACCGCGCCGCCGGATTACTCAGCAGCCGCAGCGGACAGGCTGACCCAGGAGAGGGAGGGCGGCGGGGGAGCGGCTGCCATCGCTCAGCCCAACCGGGCAGCCCTGCCCTTGGCGGCAGAGGAGGAGGAGGAGGAGGAGGAGGAGGACGGGCCCCGCTTCATGGAGCCGGGGGATCGGCCGAGCCGTTTTCCCGCAAGCAGCGGAGGATGCAGCTGCGCCAGCGACATCCAGAGATGCTCCAGCCTTAGCAACGGCGCCCGCAGCTCCTGAGAGCCCCCCCCTCTCCTCCGCTGGAGCGGAGGAGGCGTCAGGCGGACCCCCCGCAAGAGGCGGGGGGCGACGGCCAGCCCCGGCCCCTCCGCCTTTTCGGAGCAGGCAGGCCCCTCCCCGCCGGACCTGTCAGCCAACCAGCCCAGGTGGGCATGGAAAGCGGAGGAACGAGTCCTTTGAAAATCCACCTATGGGACACCGTGACTGAGAAGCTCCGTAGATCAGGGAATGAAATCCAGCACGTTCTGCAGAACCGGTAGCGGAAATTTTGAGCAGTTCGGAGAACCGGCAAACGCCACCTCTGGCTGGCCCCAGAGTGGGGTGGGAATAGAGATTTTGCAGTATCCTTGCCCCAGGAGTGGGGAAGGGGAATGGGGATTTTGCGGCATCCTTCCCCTGGTGTGGGGTGGGAATGGAGACTTTGCAATAGCCTCCTTCCAGGAGTGGGGAAGGAATGGGGATTTTGCAGTATTCTTCCCCTGGTGTGGGGTGGGAATGGAGATTTTGCAATATCCTTCCCCGCCAGGAGTGGGGAAGGAATGGGGATTTTGCAGTATCCTTCCCCTGGAGTGGGGTGGGAATGGAGATTTTGCAATATCCTTCTTCCAGGAGTGGGGAAGGAATGGGGATTTTGCAGTATCCTTCCCTTGGAGTGGGGTGGGAATGGAGGTTTTGCAGTATCCTTCCCCTGCCATGCCCACCAAGCCACACCACACCCATCAAGCCACGCCCACAGAACCGGTAGTAAAAAAAATTTGGATTTCACCACTGCCGTAGATGAAGTCCACAAGTCTTAAAAAAACCCCTGCCCTAAATAATTCAGTCCTATGCCGCCTGGATGTCTTTGATCAATTTCCTTCTGGGTTAAGTGGAGAAGAGCACGAAGAAGGGTCAGAGGGGGATGGACTCCCTTTTCTCCCCCCCCCCCACCGCCCCAGCTAATGTCCGGAAAAAGGGTTGCCCATCTCTTGCTTCACCTGGTCACACCTGATTCATCTTCTCCACCTCCACGGAGCCACCTGGAGTAGCAACAGGAGAGTTGGCACAAGAGTGGGGGGGCTCAATAGCTTACGCAGCCCCCCCCACCCCCAGCACAGCAGGAGCACTGCCACCAGAACCCCGTTGGAATTGAGGTTGCTGAGGCATGACTGCAAGAGCGAAGATAGGCTCGTCTGCTTTCCTCTCAGAATAACAGAGTTGGAAGAGTCCTTAGAGGTCTTCTAGTCCAACCCCCTGCTCAAAACAGGAGACCCTACATCTACCTCTACCTAGGATCAAACTCACAACCTCCTGATTGTGAGGCGAGAGCTCCACCTCTAAAAACCTCCAGCGATGAAGTACCCACAAATTCTGAAGGCAACTTCTGTTCCACAGTTCTCACCGTCAGGAAATTTCTCCTTAGATTTGGTTGCTGCTTTCCTTGATTAGTTTATCTCCATTGCTTCTTGTCTTGCCTTCAGGTGCTTTAGAGAATAGAATCATAGAATAATAGAGCTGGAAGGGACCTCGGAGGTCTTCTAGTCCAGCCCCCTGCTTGAGCAGGAGAACCTATACCATTTCAGACAAATGGCTGTCCAGTCTCTTCTTGAAAGCCTCCAGTGATGGAGCACCCATAACTTCTGACGACAAGCTATTCCATTGGTTGATTGTTCTCACAATTTCTCCTTAGTTCCAGATTGTTTCTCTGCTTGGTTACTTTCCATCCATTGTTTCTTGTTTTGGTGCTTTGGAAAATAGTTTGACCCTCTCGCCTTTGTAGGAGCTTCTCAAATATTGGAATACTGCTATCATGTTTTCTCTAATCCTTCTTTTCTTTAGACTAGACCAGGGGTCAGCAACCTGCGGCTCAGGAGCCGCATGTGGCTCTTTCACCACTCTGCTGCAGCTCCCTGTCACTCAAAATATGCGTCACAACTGCCAATGTGTGACACCTGCCAGCACGCAATTCATTGAGCTTTTCAACCCCCCCAGTAGGCCAACCATGGATAAATCCAAGAAAAGAAAAGTTTCAGAAGAAAACAAAGTTTAATTCAACTACATAGGCTAGTTCTGTGGCCGCTCAAGAAATAGTCAGGCACGGGAAGGGTTTTGTGGCTCCCGGTGTTTTCTTTTCTGTGGGAAACGAATCCAAATGGCTCTTTTGAGTGTTTAAGGTTGCAGACCCCTGGACTAGACGTACCCAGTTCCTGCAAATGTTCTTCGTATGTTAGGTTGACCCCTTCTTCTTTGTGGCAGACCCACAAAGCTATCATGTCACCCCTCGTCCTTTTCTTCCTTAGACTACACATACCCAATTCCTGCGACCGTTTTTCGTAGGTATTAGCCTCCAGCCCCTTAATCATCTTTGCCGCTCTTTCTAGCATCTCAACATCTTTTTTATATATATACTGCAAAATCTCCATTCCTACCCCACTCTGGGGCCAGCCAGAGGTGGTATTTGCCAGTTCTCCGAACTACTCAAAATTTCCGCTACCGGTTCTCCAGAACCTGTCAGAACCTGCTGGATTTCACCCCTGACGGGATGCAATATTCCAAGTATCCTCACACTAAGGTCTCACTTCTGCTTGAAGAGGGAGGATGTTTAGTCTAAGCAGGGTGGGCCTTTGGCAGATCCTCACTGGAGGGATGGGGACAGGCCCTGGCTGCCAGGGGGAACCAAGTTTGTTTCAAGGACATCATAGATAGACAGGTATGGTGAGATTTGCACCCCCTGCTATTCTGCTGCTTCAGAAGGAACTGTTTCCAAGTCCTCTCCCCCCACTCCCTTTCCTATTGGCCATTTTCTCTGACCCAAGGTCTTCTCGCCTTTAGCTTAGCTGGTGTTCCAGATTTATAAAGATCCCAAGGTCCCTGTGACGCAGATGCCTTCCTGCCTCCCCTACTTTTCCCTAGTGTACCCCCACCCCCAAGCCGTCCCTTCTACAGATGGAAATTAGAAACAAATCCTTCTAGTCTTTCCCTGTATTCAAGAAAGTCTGAATGCAGATTTACAGGCACTTTATTAATAAAGTTGAAATACTGGAAATATCTTTAGCATTGTAGAAAGTTAGCACCCACCCCTCTCCTAGAAGAAAGAAATATTTTAAGGAAATATTGAAAAGGCAGAATATTATACCTTCCTGGATGAGAAAAGGAGAAACATGCTCTTGGAAAGCAGCCTCCACATTTGTTAATAGCCCCAGAAAGACTGGGCCATCCCATCTACCAAACAAAAGGCCTCCAGCTCCAGGGTGATGGGATTGAGACATGACCTTCCAGGACATGATAGGATTATCTAGCAGAAGAGTTTACCACATGGCACCTGGGAATATTACATCACCCAGCACAGTTCAACCAGACTTATCTCAGACAAATTTCTAGGATTTGCACATAACCCCTAGAGCAGCCAATAGGATATATGCCCTTGCCACAGGAACAGGAAGCTCTAGGGCAGGGGTCAGCAACCTGCGGCTCTTTCACCCCTCTGCTGCAGCTCCCTGTCACTCAAAATATGCGTCACAACCACCGGCACACAATTTATTGAGCTTTTCAACCCCTGGTAGGCCAACCATGGATAAATCCAAGAAAAGTTTTAGAAGAAAACAAACCGTTTAATTCAACTACATGTGCTAGTTTTGTGGCCGCTGAAGAAATAGTCAGGCACAGGAAGGGTTTTGTGGCTCCCGGTGTTTTCCTTTTTGTGGGAAACGGGTCCAAATGGCTCTTTGAGTTGCAGACCCCTGCTCTAGGGCAAGGCCCAAGAGAGGGTATAAATATCTCTCTCTCTCCACTCATTGTGGTCAGTTACCCAGGACTTCAAACCATCCTTCCCAACAGCCTCCATGTTTCCAGTGTCTTTCTCCCCACTTGGAACTGAACCCAGATGGACATTTCTTCCAACAGTATGCACGATGAAGTTTTTTCAGTGGTTCTGGATCCTTTCTCTCTCTCTTTTTCTCTCTCTCTCTTTTTGGTACATCCATGGTAGAAGTATACAGGCCTCTGCTCTAGAGACAACCAGACTGCAATTTTATTCCGTTGCAAACAGAAACTCAAACATTTTACTTTGATTTAGGCCCCAGAGGTTTACACTGCCTGTCGTAATTCCAGACAATGCTAAAAGCATTTCTATTCTGTGTTCTTCATTAGTTCCTAAGGAAGATGTTATAGGAGGAGATTCGTGTTAGTCTGGGGTAGAAAAAGATCAGGAATCTGTTAGCACCTTTTCCAACTAACCAGATTGATGAAAAGGCAGCAGCTTTCATGATCCTGGATTCTGGACAGTAAGAAGCAGGACTGAAAAAGTACATCTACCAGATGCTGGAGAAAGGAAAGGAATATTCTTCTTCACACACACTCCATTATCTCCTCCCATTTCCTTTTCCTGCACTGTGAAATTTTTCCTGTAGCTTTGGAACATTTTCCTCAATAAATAAAAAAGCATGATGTTTTTGACTCGTTTGCTGAATTGGGATCTCTTTATCTTCTTTTAGGGCCGTGTGGGGACGAGATCACGTTTTAATATATATTTATGCAGGAATATTGAAAATGCAAGTTTCAGCACCACTGTCGCTTCGTACATGCTAATTGCTGCAAGGATATTATATATGCTTATTATTGAAAAGGATGTCCTGTTTTCTTTATGGGAGAAGGGTTAACCAATTTGTGTGATTATTTGGATTTTTGTAAGCTGCCCAGAATCACCTATGTGTGAGATGGGAGGCTATATAAATTTAATGAATGAGATTTTTGATGCCCAAAATAACTTCGTATCTTGTTGCCACCATTTTTTAAAGTGCAAATTTATACTTTTATAGGTTATTAGAACAAGAACAGATTGTTCATTTAGACTCAATCTATTATAGCTTTTAATGTTATATTATTATTTTTACTCTATTGGACTCTGTCGATATTTAATTCTGCTTAAAGCTAAATTGGTTAAATTCTGGATGACTGGAAGAGGAGATGTCCCCCATCATTAAATGGAGTTTTGAAACTAGAGTAGTCACAGACCTTCCCATCTGATAAATGTCCAAATCAGATTCCAAAGCAATCAATGCAGTGACGATAGTGGGAGGCTCCACTCACCCACCCAGATGTCTCTGCGCATGCCCACAAGCGAACCGGTAGCAACGGGCTTTGAATCCCACTACTGAATCAATGCCATGATTAAATATATTTATTGACATAGTGTTTGCCTGTAAATAAGTGTTTGGCGAGTCCCTTGGATTGCAAGGCGATCAGACAAGTCGGTCTTAGAGGAGATCAACCCTGACTGCTCTTTAGAAGGCCAGATCCTGAAGATGAAACTCAAATCTTTTGGCCACCTAATGAGAAGGAAGGACTCCCTGGAGAAGAGCCTAATGCTGGAACGATTGAGGGCAAATGAAGAAGGGGATGGCAGAGAACGAGATGGCTGGATGGAGTCACTAAGCAGTCGGTGTGAGTTTAAATGGACTCCAGGGGATGATAGAGCATAGGAAGGCCTGGAGGAATGTTGTCCATGGGGTCACAATGGGTCGGACTCGATTTCGCAACTAACAACAAGTGTTTTGCCTGTATGTTTTGGGGTTTTGTTTTGTTTTTGCAGCCATTTGTTTTTCTTCTTTTACAATTTTGTGCGGGTTTTTTTTTTCTTTTTTTTTCAATTTAAAAAAATCTTTTAAAAATAAATACAAAGAATGTGATGCCCATTGAGGGTGATGGTAACCACAACCACCACAGCAATCTCAGCAACAACTGGCCAATAACCAGAGATCAAGATGGGCTGGTTAAAAGCAACTCCACCAAATTAATCTGGATCAAGCAGCTTTCTTAATAGACTGGGGATACGCAAGTGATGTATAGGTAGTCCTCAACTTACGACTGCAATGGAACACAACATTTTTGTTGTTGAGAGGGATTTGTTTTGGGAGTTTTGCCCCCGTTTTATGACCTTCCTTGCCCTGGTTGTTAAGCAAATGACTGCAGTCGATAAGTCAATAACCCGGTGGTGGAGCGAATCGGGCTTCCCCAAACTTTTCTTGTCAGGGGGTCGCAAAAAGGGGATCGCATAAATCCCAGAGCACTGCAACGGTCGTAAATATGAACCCGTTGCCACGCAGGTGAATTTTGATCACGTGACCACCGCTGTTGTTAAACGAGTAACTCAGTTGTTAAATGCATTTGGTTTCCTCATTGGCTTTGCTCATCAGAAGATCACCAAAGGCGATCACGTGATCCCAGATCACTGCGTCCGTCGTAAGTACCAGTCAGTTGTCAACATTTGACTGTAAACCCCACTGAATTTTGATCACGTGACCACCGCCGTTGTTAAACGAGTTAACTCAGTTGTTAAGTGCATCAGGTTTCCTCATTGGCTTTGCTCGTCAGAAGATCACCAAAGGCGATCACGTGATCCTGGATCTCTGCATCTGTTGTAAGTATCAGTCAGTTGTCAACATTTGACTGTAAACCCCACTGAATTTTGATCACGTGACCACCACCGTTGTTAAATGAGTTAACTCAGTTGTTAAGTGCATCTGGTTTCCTCATTGGCTTTGTTCGTCAAGATCGCCAAAGGCGATCACGTGACCCCGGGACAACACGACCATCGTAAGGACGAGTTCGGTTGTTAACATTTGAATGTAAATCACGTGACGGTCGTTAAGTGTGGAAAAAAACCATCCCTAAGTCACTTTTGCACGGTGCCGCCGCTGTAACTTCTGAACGGTCAGAAGAGTCCTCAGGGAGCAGGTCGGTATAGAAATTCAATAATAAATAAATAAATAAACGAAGTCCTGTTAAGTCGAGGCCTACTTTTGGTTTATTTTAACCGGTCAGGATGGCTGAAAGGGCCGGATTGGAGGCTCCTGAGGGGAGGGAAATCCCTCAGTTCCCTCAGTCTCAGACGCCTCAACCAGCCTGAGAAGCCGAAGGGAAAACTCTCCCTCATCCCACCCCACCCCTTCTTCTCCTTCTCCTTCTCCCCGGTCCGGTTGGAAGGAGGACCGCGCCTGAGAGGCTCTCCTGCCGGAGAAGCTCCGCCTGACAGACCGCGAAAGAGAGACCCTCACGGCCTGGCAGCCAGGCCCAAATGTGAGGGCTGCGCCTCAGTCCCGCTTTTTTTTGCAGAGTGGGCGTGGCCTGGACATAGGGGGCGTGGCCCTGGCAGAGAGGGAGAGAGAGAAGCGTCCTATCAGCGGCCTCCTTGCTGGCGGGCGCCGCCGTCCAATGGCTGCCGCGCTCTTTGGCCTGCAGACCTGCCAGCCGCGCCCGCGGAGGCGGAGGAGGGCGGGACCGCCGGAGCAGCCTCGACTCGCCTCGGCCGCCGCCGCCGCCGCTTCTCCGCGCCAGGTGAGCCGCTGCGTGGCCAGGCCCGTTCCCGTTCCTCCTTTACCTCCTTCCCCTCACCGCCGCCGGTAAGGCCGTCAGGAAAGCGGGCGGCTCTTCCGAGGCCCACAGCCGTTGCTCGCCGGTTTGTGTGGGGAGGGGTCGTCGGATGGATGGAGAGGCCTTGATTCCCCACCCGTTGTTTTTTTCCCCCCCTCCTGAGGGACGTTTTTTTTTTTTTACCTCAGGGGACGTCTTCCTGAGGGAGAATGGGGGGGGGGCAAGGCGAAGAGGGGGAGGGAAAGACCCCCCCTCAGCCTTTGCTGCCCCGGGGCATTCTGGGAGTTGTAGTCCGCATCTCTGCCAAAGGCTCCCTGGGGTTGGGAGATGCTGGCCCGGAGGAAAGGAAAGTGGGGGGGGGGAAAAAAGAACGGCTTGGAACGGGCCCATTGGAGGAGGGGGCGACTCATCCTCCGTTAAATCCGTTGGAAATGCACATCATAGCAATAGCCCATAGACTTATGTATACTTTTAGCTTTATATATATAAATACCTTCTATGGACTTTTAGTCTTACATATATAAAGGCCTTATATAGACCTTTAGCTTATATATATATAAATATCTTATATAGACTTTTAGCTTATGTATAAATGCCATATATAGACTTTTAGCTTAGATATAAATATCTCATATAGACTTTTAGCTTATAACCTTATATATAAATATCTTATATAGACTTTTAGTTTATGTATAAATACCTTCTATAGACTTTTAGCTTATCTATAAATACCTTCTATAGACTTTTAGCTTATATACTTTTAGCCTTATATATATAAATACCTTCAATAGACTTTTAGCCTTATACATAAATATCTTATATAGACTTTTAGCCTTATATATGAATATCTTATGTAGACTTTTAGCCTTATATATAAAATATCTTATATAGACTTTTAGCTTATAGCCTTATATATAAATACCTTATATAGACTTTTAGCCTTATATATGAATATCTTATATAGACTTTTAGCTTATATATAAAATATCTTATATAAACTTTTAGCATATATAAAATATCTTATATAGACTTTTAGCTTATATATAAAATATCTTATATAGATTTTTAGCTTATAGCCTTATATCTTATATAGACTTTTAGCCTTATATATGAATATCTTATATAGACTTTTAGCCTTATATATGAATATCTTATATAGACTTTTAGCTTATATATAAAATATCTTACAGACTTTTAGCTTATAGCCTTATATATAAATATCTTATATAGACTTTTAGACATATATAAATATCTTATATAGCTTATACATGTACATCATGTATACAACGAAATTGGTTTTAGCTTCACTGGTGCAATCCATGACAAAAAATACAAACAACATAAACAGTATAAAGAATAATCCCTATGCAAGTAATTGGGGGGGGAGCCTTACATATAAATAGCTTATATAGACTTTTAATTTATATAGACTTTTATATATAAATATCTTATATAGACTTTTAGCTTATATAGACTTGTAGTCTTATATATAAATATCTTATATAGACTTTTAGCTTATATAGACTTTTAGCCTTATATAGACTTTAAGTATAGTATAGCCTTTATTGTCATTGTACATCATGTATACAACGAAATTGGTTTTAGCCTCACTGGTGCAATCCATGACAAAAATACATAAATAGTATAAAGAATAATCTCTATGCAAGTAATTAGGGGGTGGGGGGTAAGCCTTATATATAAATATCTTATATAGACTTTTAGCTTATATAGACTTTTAGTCTTATATATAAATATCTTATATAGACTTTTAGTCTTATATATAAATAACTTATATAGACTTTTAGTTTATATAGACTTTTAGCCTTATATAAACTTTAAGTATAGTATAGCCTTTATTGTCATTGTACATCATGTATACAACGAAATTGGTTTTAGCCTCACTGGTGCAATCCATGACAAAAATACATAAATAGTATAAAGAATAATCTCTATGCAAGTAATTAGGGGGTGGGGGGTAAGCCTTATATATAAATATCTTATATAGACTTTTAGCTTATATAGACTTTTAGTCTTATATATACATATCTTATATAGACTTTTAGCTTATATAGACTTTTAGTCTTATATATAAATTAGCTCAGTAGAGGTGCCCGTTCTTTCCAAATCTGCGTGGGCTACCAAGATCTCTACCAAATAACTGATTCGTGTGTGTGTGTGTATGTGTACGTGTGTGTTTTCTCCTTACAAGATTTGAAATCTCCCATCTGTCTAACTTTTTAACTAGGGTGGAGGGGATGGGATTGGCCAATCGTGTTTTGTTTTATTTTATTTATTTTAGTTTAGCCGTCTCGTCTCTTTTCTTTTTTAGTTAGGGAGTTGAGTTGGACCTTCTCCATTTTATCCTGAATTAGGATTCTGCTCTCTTTTAGGATCTTGTTGCAGGATTAGGGTCCATTGTAACGGAAGACTAGTATAGACCTTGATCTGATGCTTGGACTGTTATTTTCTGCATGATTGTCGTCTTTCAAATGAGCCGGGAAAGCTTTCCAAATTGCCAGATTCTCAATTGATGTCCTAAGGCAAAGTTGTTAAGAGTGCAGTACTGCAGGCTACTTCTGCTGACAGCTGGCTGCCTGCAATTTAGCAGTTCAAATCTCACCAGGCTCAAAGTTGACTTAGCCTTCATCCTTCTAATAAGGGTAATATGAGGACCCAGATTGTTGGGGAACATATGCTGACTCTGTAAACCGCTTAGAGGGGGCTGTAAAGCCCTGTGAAGCAGTATATAAGTCTAAGTGCTATTGTTGTTGCTAGCTTGCTTCCTCCCCTCCCTCCCTCCCTCCCTCCTTCCCTCGCCATGGTGGCATAGTGGTTAGAATGCAGTATTGCTGGCTAACTCTGCCCACTGCCATCGATCCTGACCAGCTCAGCCTTCCATCCTCCGAGGTGGGTAAAATGAGAACCCAGATTGTTGGGGGCAAGAGGCAGACTCTGTAAACAGCTTAGTGGGGGCTGTAAAAGCACTGTGAAGTGGTATATAAGTCTAAGTGCTATTGCTATTCTTATCCTCTGGTTATATATTAGCAATAGAACTTAGACTTATATATTGCTTCACGATGCTTTACACCCGTCTCTAAGCTGTTTACAGAGTCAGCCTCTTGTCCCTAACAATCTGGGTCCTCATTTTACCAACCTCAGAAGGACGGAAGGCTGAGTCAATATCAATAGTCCTTAGACTTATATCCCGCTTCATAGTGCTATACAGCCCTCTCTAAGCGGTTTACAGAGTCAGCCTCTTGCCCCCAACAATCTGGGTCCTCACTTTACTGACCTCAGAAGGACGGAATGTTGAATCAACCTTGAGCCGGTCAGGATCGAACTCCTAGTAGTGGGCAGAGTTAGCCTGCAATGCTGCATTCTAACCACTGTGCCACCACAGCTCTTGCCGTGCAATAACTTTTATTACCTTACTTGTTTTCTGGCAAACTCATTGGTCCTGGGGAACTCTAAACATTTATCTTGGGTTTTTTGCCCTTGCCTTTTCTGATGGGTGTGACTTGTGCTGATCTTTTTTCTGGACTGAATACAGGTAGTCCTCAAGTTACAACAGTTCATTTAGTGACCGTTTTAAGCTACAACGGCACTGAAAAAAGTGACTTAGGACTGTTTCTCACACTTATGACCGTTGCAACCTTCACATGGTCACGTGATTTACAATCGGATGCTTGACAGAATGGTTCATAATTATGACGTTTGCAGTGTCCCGGTATCATGCCATCATATTTTGTGATCTTATGACAAGCAAAGTCAAGGGGGAAGCCAGATTCACTTAACCGTGTAACTAATTGAACAACGACATATTCACTTAACAAATGTGGCAAGACAAGTTGTCAAATGGGGTAAAATTCACTTAATAAGTTTCTCACTTGGCAGCATAAATTCTGGGCTCAATTATGATCATAAATTGAGGACTACCTGTGGCCTGTTCGGTACAAAATGTTCTGGAACGAGTGGTTGCCACGTAGGAAAAGGAGTTGCAGTGTATCTTCCCTGGTATTCTTAGAGTAGATGCCGGAGCAGAACTGACATAGACCCTTTGACATTTAGGGAATTAATGCTGTGTCTATCAGTGGGTTGTGATTGGCTATCTCCTGGTGGTGACTTAGCACTTAACGGCTGTCAAACGTACATCGTTGATGCTCTGAGCATAACAAGTGGGGCTGTCTGGCATTGCCTCATCAGCCTTCTTGATGTAAATCGTTCCTGGGAATTAGCATAAGCTGTATTGGTCTGCTGTTTAAATTAAATTAACAGCTGAATGTGAAAAATAAAGCAGAAAACGCATCTTGTTCCTAGCTCAGAAAGAAGAAAAGGCAGACTGGGAACATTCTGCCTGTTTGCTGCATAGAGCAGTATTTCTCAATCCTGGCAAGTTTTAAGATGTGTGGACCTTAACTCCTAAATGATGACTGTGTCATGACTGGATCCCCTGGCCTGAGGATTCCCACAATGGATAGAAGGTTGGTCTAGAAGATCCCCAAGATCCCTTCCTGCCCAGGGACTAGAAGGAATGCACGCTCCCTTTTTTCTAGAAGACACTGCAAAGATAGGAGTTGAATAGTTCTGCTTTTTCATTGTTACCTAATAGCTTTTTGCCATCTCCGTCTAGCTGTTTGCTTTCTTTCGAGTATTTCGAAAAATGCACATCTCAGAAATGATTTGAAAGAAGTACTGTGGATGTTAGACAAACATAACACATCCCTGCTACTCACTATATCTTTGTCCCTGCCTATCCCTCTCACGTTCTCTTTGGCTGTCTTTTTTTTCCCTCCAACCTCATTAAATTCATTACAAAGCCCTCCAGACTGAAGCTTGTCTTGCTTTGATCTCATCCATCATCTTCTCTGATGTTCTGGAGCACCTCTTGTTGCACCTCAGCAGTCATTAATTCTCACACCTTTGCGAGAGTTCCGTTGTTTTGCAAAGTGGCATCAGTATCCACC